TCCTTCCATACTGATTCATAAACTTTCGTGATTACACTATTGTCCAGATTTTAGAATATATTTTCATTTCAATCACATTTCCTAAATCGAAAAATACGCGATCTTTATATTTCCTAAATCAATATTGTATGTTGTATCAGTTAATATGAGATTCATGACAAAATGAACGTAATTACGATGAAATCATAGGGCGAAATTCATTACTCGAGAAGCATAAAAACTCTTCAAAAGTAAAAATTATGTTTTGGCATATATCATTAGGTACTTGGTTGGCATGTCGGTTAACTAGACTCTCTATGAAGCACAGGCCAACCAAGTAAGAGCCGAAACTTTCCTAAATTACACCAGGTACGAAAGGCTACTATACTAGCCCTACCCGACATAGCCAGTTAAAACTAACGTAGAGTCTATCTTCCCCACATGCAGGCCCCTAAGTTCCCTTATATTGTTTTTCTTTCCAAGAGAGAAGAAATACGGAGAGGACTTACGGGAAAATCTCTCTACCCTACCGGGAAGTTTCTTCCCCTGTCTCTTTCTGAGCCTTTTAAGATCCTGCTCGTGACCATTATTTCCATCTTTTCCGACTTCATTTTTTGATTGGCCATTTTAGATCATAATATGATCAACCTGCAACTCTATTTTTTTTTTGCTCTCATACCTGCAAACCTGCAACTCTGTTTGCGAAAAAAGTACCACAACTTATAAATATCCTTACACTTCGACGTCAAAGTTCTCCTCCCCTTTCCAAAGCGACTAATCCAAAGTTGCTTGTTCACAGGTCTCGACCCTATAAATCAATAAAACTCTAATACGGATCTTAATGAAGAAATGAGGCATGTGATTTGAAATTTTAATGTGGTTCGTGTATGTTCCATTTTGCAACATTTGGCTATGTGGGCCTTGCCGCAATATCCATAACGACAATTCCAATAATCTTTCCACCTCTTTGGTGATATCTGGTTTAACTTCACGTATCATTGCTCTTGCACTTGTTTTCTGCAACTCTTATGGTATTAGGCTAACAGACAGATGTTTGGCCTCAACTTATGAAAGTATTGGACTCTTTATGATTGCATCATTGATTTTAATCATATCAACCAACCACTGATTTTTTGCTCCTTTAATTGCGGCATCTTCGTTTTTGGCCAATGCAGGTGGGTCTGGCCATAATTGATCGAGTGGAGAACATTTAACAAAATTTAAGTTTATTTTGTAAGTCAAACTATATGGAATGCTCATTAGTTTATTTTTTTCAAAGATAAAGGTCTAGCCAAAATTTTCATGTGCCGTGCACGTGTTGCATGTGCCATTTTACAGCATCTGGCTACGTGGGCCTTGCTACAATATCCACAATAAAAATTCCAATGATCTTTCAACCTTTTCGGTGGTATCTGGTTGTAAGTTCATATCTCATTACTCCGACACTTGCCGTCTACAACTCTTATGGTACTGGGCTAACTAACTAGAGTTTTGCCTCAACTTATAAAAAGAACAGACTCTTCATGATCGCATCATTGATTTTAATCTTCTTAACCAACAACTAATTCAGCGCTTCTTTAATTGCGTTCTTTTCGTTTTTTGCCAATGCAGGGGGGGTCTAGCATAATTAATTAAGTGGAGAACATTTAACGAAATATAAGTTTATTTTGTTAGTCAAAGTATATGTAATCCTCGTTATTTTATTTTTAATTTCAAAGAAAAAGGTCCAGCCGAAATTTTTTTCACTGGTATCTGATTATGAATTCATACCTCATTGCTCGTACACTTGTCTTCTGTAGCTCTTATGGTACTGGGCTAACGGTATGGAGGTTGGCCTCAACTCATTGAAAGAATAGACTCTTCATGGTGGTATCATTGATTTTAATCATCTTAACCAATCATTAATTTAGTGCTTCTTTAATTGCGACATCTTCGTTTTTTGCCAATGCAAGTGGGTCTGGCCATAATTGATTGGGGGGAGAACATTTAACAAAATATAAACTTATTTTGGAAGTCAAATTGTTTTTTCTTTGTGGTCTATTTTTTTTTTCCAAACCTTAGAACTGACATAAATCGGGGTTGCATCAATCTAATCGTCATAAGGTGATAGTCATTGGTTGCAAATCTGACAAATCTTATCTATTGATCATAAATTCTTTAACATTTCGTGTGCTACGACACTTTATGTGGGATTACCACAAAATGAGCGTGATTTCAGTTAAAATCTAGAGGGAAACCCATTACTCGAGAACCATCGAAGCTCTTCTCAAGTAATTTTATTTTGTCCATTGACCATCTAATTTTGAGTCATATTTTTCTCCATCTCCTTCAATCTCACTTTTTTATTGGCCATTTTAGATCCTAGTATTTGGAGGTGTGCAAAACGGATCGTCCAGACTGGACCGAACTGGCCAGTTTAGTCCTATTCTCGAAAGTATCGGTCCGGTTACCAGTTCATAAAACTGGAACCGGTATCCGGGCGGTCCGCTTCTCGATTCCAAAGGAGAACCAGACGGAACCGGGTCGATCAAACCGGACTGATTACGTAAACTTTTGTTTTTATTTCTTCAAAAAAAATTAGTAAAAATTAAACCCTAGATGAAGTACTATGATTCTTTCTCTTTTTGTTTTCGATCAATCTTGCCAACAAATGAGCATGACTGTACACCTCCGGATGAGGTAGAGACGAGCCCTATGCTCTCTTATGTGCTTTGAGCAAAACCTCTGCCGTGAACGCAATTTCAGGCTCGTCCTCACTGTGCTCGTGCTTGAGTTAGTCCCTCCCATTCTCTCTCGGAGACACATACCAACAGCCAAACACCTACAAAGATTAAAGGGAAAAAAAAGATGGGTTTCGATTCTTATTTGAGTAAAAGTTGTTTGCTCTTCTTGTGCTAAGGCAGTGAGCAATAGAGGCTTTTGGGTTAATATCTAGAGCGAGAGAGAGACAGAGAGTACAAGAGGAGGACATCCTGGGGATCATGATGAAAGAGGGAGTCGGACCGATGAGTCAGGTCCGGGTCAAGACACTGCATCAGTTCAATCAGCAAAATCGAAAAAAAAAGTGATCGGTTCCTGGTCCTAGGATCAATCGGTCGGGTCCTCAATTCCCAATTTAGAGAACCAGTTCAGTTCCCGGTTCTATCATGGAATCGGACCGGACCGAACTACGAATCGATCACCCTTACTAATATCACCATCATGTAACTCTATTTTCGGAAAAGTAGTACAACTCATACATATTCTCACGCTACACCCAACCTCCCCCAATCCCATCTCAAGATTGAGGGCCACCAATCATTGGCAAATCTAACCAAATATAGGCAGAGCGGGCCAAATCTGCTTCAATCAAGCCATCACGGCTCCATCGATGAGGAGGCCGATGCCCCGCCGTCGAGAGAGCTTAAAGGTGATGGCAACACGATGGAGGTGGTGGCGGCCGAGATGGTAGTGGTTTTGTGGTGGTGTTGTATATGCAAAAATGTGTGAGCAAGAAATGGCGGTTGAGGGGCTGCTAACGGAGGAGTGGCAACGATGACAACACGGGAGCTGAGGTGATGCCTTTGCAATTGGAGAGAGGTTAATATGCTTTATTATGTTTTCTTGTGTATGGCTAACAATCACCCATGTAAGGTTAGGCAGGTGGTTGCATGCCAAATGTTGCCTCCTCCAAATCTAAGGTTGCGAGTCTTGCAACCTCGGGGTGGAGAGAGAGAGATAGAGTCGTTGAAGGGCGGGCCGAGTGGTGGTGATGTTGTAGCCGGAGGCACATTGCAAATGGCTAATAGCGATGACAACTACTATGTGAGTGGTCAAGTCCAAACAAATGGAGGATGAAGAAGAATGGAGAAGAGCAAACGATACAGTTAGAAAACGGAGATAGGTTAACACATTTCTATTGCTAAATGTAAATAGTCCTTTTATTTGTTTATTCTTAATTTGGACTCCCGACATCCAATTCAAGGTCAAGAGCCGATGTCAGCTGTCCATAGCCTAAGATGACCTCAATTTGAGGCCAAGCCAATACTTGCAGTAAGTTGTGAGATTTTTGTGAGATCATCGTCAATTATTTTAAAAAATTTAAACAATTAAATGAATATCTGATTTAATATTTTAATATTTTAATATAAGTCATACGATCTGTGGCCGCAAGGACCGTAGGGGTCCTGTTTGCCTACAAAGGAAGGGAGGGAGGAAGGGAGGGTTGATGAGATGGCGATAAGGGACAATGCTGGAAATGCAGTGACGGCAGGAATGCGGCCGCAACGAATGTGTAGAGTAGCCGTAAGTATTTAAAATAAATCGCAGCGGGTCCCCTTAATGACAAGACCCTGGAGGAATCAGTCGCCCCTCCTGCCCTTTTCAATGGATCATTTGCTAAAAGTCTTCCTCAGATTCTGACCTAGTTCAGGATAAGATTCATGAAGTATCTAATGGACCAAAACCTAGTAGTTTCTTTTTTTTTTTTCCTTTTCCGAATGAAACACGGTAAAATGGCCTAATGTCACGGCATTTCCACGTGAAAACATCGAGGTGAAAACTATGTATTAGCGGGAGAAGGAACCATGATACAACTAAATTGTGAGAATAATCAAAGCGATTGCGAATAAAAAAATAAATCATACGAAAGATGTTCAAAGGCGTCATTCGCCACGTACTCACAAACTAGTTAAAAGCTACTGTCTCTCTTCCGACGATGGCCACGACAAGCCATGCTATTTGAAACACGAAATGCTTGATGAGACATTTCGATGAGACATTTCATAATATAAGCCATCCGCGACAAGCCATGCATGCTCTATTCAAGACACTATTCAAGACACGAGATGCTTAATAAGACATTTCATAATACAAATCATTACAAGAAAAGACTGGCATGGTGAATCGACTCACTAGACGCCACAAGGTCCTGGCCAAGACCATGTAACACCAAACAATATTCACATTCTTGTGTCATCTTTTATCACTGCAGGATTCTAGCAACACATTCAGCACAAGCAAATCTTAAGACCCATGCAAGATCAGTGGAAAGGAGAAAGGCGATTTTATTTCACAAAATGACCAAAGTCATGTCCCAAATGAACCCAAAAGAAAAGGGCTAATAAACGCTGCTCAAACCTCAAAACAAGCATGACCAGAAAAAAACTGAAACCTACACAAAAACTCCACAAAAGGCCCCTGTTTCTCCACCAACACCTCTATTGCCTAATCAAAAACCCCCGACCGTCTCACTGCCAAAGGTCCTCCGTCACCTTCTCAATCCCCCCCTGTTTAGCCCTCTCCTCCTCTTGCTGCTGCTGCTGCTTCTTCGCTGAGTCATAGGGCGGCGCTGCTGATGCTGAAGGCAATATGACGGCCTCGCGCTGAGCATCGAGGAACTGCCTTATGGTCGTCTCGTTGCTTACCCCGAACGCGGCAGCGAGTTCCGGCCCAAGCAGCGTCTGGAGGACCGAGTTCCGGCCCACCAGGAACTGGGGCCTGTTCCTCCGGGCTGAGGTGGTGAACCCGAAGAACTCGAGCGGCCCGCTCCTAGACGAGATCTGGCAGAACGGGAAGTACCTCGGCACCAGGAACACGTCTCCCTCTTTCACATTCGCATTCATCGCAGACGACCCATTTGGGTACCCGATCTGGATCGTACCCGATCCTCCGAGGACGATCCCGTACTCTGTGGCCCTCGGATTTACATGGGGCGCCATCATTGATCCCTGAGGATGCAAAATGTTTTCAAAGAGATCATGGATGAATAGTTACGATCAGCATATACACGTGATGTGCAGCATCGAATGTTTATCGAGCAAACTATAAATAGAAGCTTACTTGGCCCGGTGACATTTCCATTAGCATCTTGACTTAGAGACGGTCGATATTTTTATAAGTTAATTTCCGTCCTTTGATCAACTATATGCTTAATGCAATCATATTATAAAGGAGTTAAGCTGAGTACCGCCGTTAGATTGACGAGGTAAACTCCCACGCCCGAGTGCTTGAGAGGTTCATAATCGGACTCATCAAGGGCAACACTCCATCCATAGTCGTTGCGGAAGTCGGGGCGTCGATCGTACAGATTGTAGGAGTCCGGTCCTTTGCCAGTTCTCCATTTTCGGTCATCCCTCCTGCCTTCCCTTCTACGGCCATCCCTTCTGCCGTCCCTCGCGAAGATGGAGCTCAAGAACTTCCACCACGACCACGCTTCTTCTTCTTCTTCTTCATTCTCCTCGTCCTTGGATTCTCCGTGGAACTCCACCATTTTCTTTAGGTGTTGTAGCCTATCTTGTTCTTTCAGCTGCAAGAACTTAGACCAGAAGCTCGGTGGTTTACGAGTGTCGTCATTTATGTATATAATGGGGCCCTCTTTTTGCCTGGTCAGTAGTTCCGTCACTTCATCTATTGAAACCTGTGAAGGCATCAAACAGAGGATACGTTTGTAAGACCCCTGCACAATCCGCTAAAAAAATCCGCTCTTTTTCAATTACTGCAAGGAGGAATACTCACGTTAAATGCGGTTGCAAGCGTTTCAGGTTCGAACCCGGTGAGTACAGAGGTCGGGTAGCTTCCTCCACCAATGAAGAATGACTGCAAAAGAAGACAATTCATAACATCACCCAGCTACCTAAACGCATTGCTTAATGGATGAGGTTTGGGTAAAACTACATGACTTAACCTAATAAAGTGTCCTGTTTCGTGGGTACGGTTTAGATCTTAACATATGTTTCCCAAAGTAATTTGCTAATGGTGGAAATTTGATTTTGAGCATTGCAAAATCTAGCAGTATGTAACTACATGATAGGGGTTTGGGTTAGGGTTGGGGTTGGGGATGGGGATGGGGATCATCTCCAGTCCAATTTTTATGGTAACACTTGTTATGGAGTTTATAAGCCAAGCAGTTATGGCTTCGAGTTCTCGGCCAATAAGATGAACACAAGAACACCGTGAACACCACACGACACAGTCAAATTCTTACGGAGCACCCATGGAAGTTGTAAAGGAACCATTCTATTATCTGAAGAAGCTTTGCATAAAAAAGTCTTAACTTGGATCACTCATTGATTTGCCAAGAAATTAGTGATTTAATGCTACAAAGACCATTGACACACACCTGGAAAGTCCTCAACCCCAAGCTCTCGGAAGTGTCGATGCTGGTGATGATGTGCAGTCTCTGACCCTCCCCAATGTTCACCAAGTAGAATGCCGACCCGGCAGGGACCCCGAATATGTCACCGATCTTCAACCGCCTCTCCACCAGCCCATCTTTGTGGATTGCACCAATTATAGCCTCTCCTGCAATCGCATTACAAATAGTATAGAGCATGTTATGTATACATGATTGGCCAGTTTTCTCACTGCTTGAACTTGCGACGAAAACGGTTTGTCTAACGACAAAATTCTCATACTATTCAACCTCACAAGCAATATGTACCGATTCAAATCAATAAAAATATCAATCCAAGACATGCATGACCTGGGTCTAGGCCATTTACCTCGGCGGACGAAGAGGATCAGATTGGAATCGAGGTACTGAGGTACGAAGAGGGTCTGGGGCTCCATGGTGATGAAGCCTATGTGCATGGGCCGTTCGACGATCCGGCCGCTGAAGCTCCTCACCACCGTCATCTCGCCAGCGTCGGTCCGGAACACGTGCTTCGAGTCATGCAACAGGAAGAAGTCGTCCGCTTCTCCTCTGCCTGCCCCTCCGCCTCTCTCCGTCCTCCTCCACTCTCTCTCCTCCCCCCCTCTCTCCCTCCTTCTCCATTCCCTCTCTTCCTCCTCTTCTTCCTCAACTTCCTCCTGGTGGTAAGGCACGGAGGACGCGCACCGCGCGTTCAGGAGGACGAGGAGCAAGAGCAAGAGGAGGATAAGTGACCTAGCTTTCATGGCGGACGGAGATCGCTTCCAGGGACTTGATCAGTCTTGCTAACGAGTGCAGGTCTTGGGCTGTCGATGAAGAGGACGGTGGTGAAGTGCAGTGATCGGGTGTGAAGCGAGGGAGAGTATATAAGAGGAGTAGAGGGGGAAGAGAGAAGAAGGGTGGCACTGGCAGGTGTAGGGCATGCATGGTTTTGAGGAGACTGGTGGAGGCTTCTGTTGCGAGACACCGTTATGCAGATCTTTTTTGTTCTTTTTCTGCGTGAGAAATATCGGATTGATCTTTTGGACGGAGTCACGTTGACATTGGTAAGTTCCTTTTGTTTGATCCGGAAAAATTAAAAAAAAAATTATTAGAAGAAAGGATCAACTTCCATCATTAGTACAAAGCTACAAATTATGCCGTAAGCTAGCTTTATGCTTTTATATTTAATCCTCCAATGCTTTATTAAGGTGATAGTATTGAGTGGATTTAGTTAGAGACACAAGGGTGTTGGAATTGAGTAGATTTAACTAGAAATGAAGGCACAAGGGTGTTGGTATTGAGTAGATTTAACTAGAAATGAAGGCTAAGGGCCCGTTTGGTTCGGCTTTTTAAATGCAACTTGGGGGAATGCAAATACCTTTAGGTGAAAGCCACTTGGGGAAATGCAAGTGGTGTTTGGTAAAAAAAAAATTGTGAAGCTACTTTGGCCTAAGTAGTGTTTGGTAAATTTTTTTTTGCAAAGGGCTTTGGCAATTTTTATTCTTAATATTCCGGTTTTGCCCCTATTACTATTCATCTTCTTCACCGGCGAGGGTGGCCGGCGAGGGGCCGGCGAGGGCGGATCTGGCCGGCGAAGGCCCGGCGAGGGGCCGGCGAGGTCGCCTGACCTAGGCGACGGCGCCTGGGCGGTCGCCTGACCCCAGGCGGCCGTCGCTTGGGTCAGGCGACCTCGCCGGCCCGTCGCAGGCCAGATCCGCCCTCGCCGGCCCTTCGCCGGCCACCCTCGTCGGCCACCCTCACGGTGAAGAAAATGAACAGTAACAGGGCAAAACTGGAAAATTGAAATTTGAGTGAGGGCAATTTGGGAAGGAAAAATAGGCTTTCGGCATTCCAATGGCATTTCAAATGCTGGCTTTCGGCTTTCCGGACTCGGAAAGCCGAACCAAACAGTTCAGCATTTTGGGAAGGGGCTTTCGAGGCCGAAAGCCCCTTCCCAAAGCTGAACCAAACAGGGCCTAAGTCTAGTTATTTGTGAGCTGTTCGGGCTTGACTCGGTTATTTCACGACTCAGCTCGGTTATTTTTGAGTTCCGAATCCGATCACTTAATCAAATCGAGTTCGAGCTTAAAAAACTTGACTCAAATAATTTCAAAAAAAAAGTAAGTATCAGAATATTAATCAATTGAATTGAGCTTTTTAACGTGATATCACATCGGGTTGTTTCCTAGGATTTTATTCGAATCCATGCAAAAGATATTGTCCCTCTTTGTCTGTAGTTTGATCTTCATTAGCCTTATATGCATGTAGTTTCCCTCTCTATGATCGTTTAGACTTTTGGATTTAACATTCTAATAGATATGTGCACGGTAAACTTAGTCATATTGCATGCACGAAAAAATGGAACATTGTAAGAAAAGAATAAAGATAAGGTATTAAAACTCGAGCCCAAGGCATATTCTAGCTCATATTTCATCATGTCTCTTGAAAGCTGAAGATAAGCGAGAGTCAAACTTAAAATTAAATAAGCAGATAACGAGCTCAAAAGAAGGAAGCACTTCAAAGTATCGACATCCACGAATCAAACATGTTTCACATTCAAGGCCCAATGCAACACATGTCATGAAAGATCTCTACCTAGTTTTGCCCTAGAGAAGCCATGGTGGGCTTCGATAGTGCACTCGTCTATAGCCAAATCCATCGGATTGAGTCTAACTTCGATCGCTGATCATGTGAACCTCATGTAGAGAGTTGATGTAAACTTCATATAATCAACGGCTGCAACAAGGCGAAGCTAAAGAATTTCACTATTCCATGAGCGAAATTTGTCGGTGAAATGCACAATTTGTCTAGAAGGAAATTAGTTGGTCTTTTGTTAGATTTTCGCTGATCATGGAAGTAATTTTTTTTTGTTGATTCACTTTCCTAAACGATGCCAAATAAATAAAAGAAAATGGGGAGAATATTTTTTTTGTTGATTAATTTTTGTTGATCATGGAAGCACACGTGGGTATATTTGCAAATGAAGTAGGCGACTTGGGGACCTCAATAGAACCAAATGCTCGAGGGCCAAAAGGTCCGGGGAATTTGGTATGTACCTGAATTAGTTATAGGGCCGTGCTTGTCCACAAATGCATTAATGGTCTTCATGGCCAGCTAAAATTGCATGGTGTACCCCCAAAACGTGGCATGGGGAGGTTCCATTGTCCCGTGACTTAAGCATTCAGCCGCTTTTATCAACAATCGGTTCATACATGTTATATCATAATCATGCTCATCCATTTCATCTCTCGTCTGGAGACAGAAACAATAACTTAACAACACATGATCAAGGCAGTTTCGATCGGCTGATTGACCCTTAACATGTGTTTCATTCATTTCGACGGGCAGACCTTTGTAATGGATCGTGATTTTGAGTCCCAAGTTATTTGGTAGGTATCACTTGACAAGGCATCACTTTAAAATTATCTCGTTAGAGGGTGCGATTACCATATGAGAGATCAAACATGTATTGGTCCCCAAGGGCAGTACTAACTCGATTTGTTAACCCATCTAATCCACTTGTAACCCAAAAGGCCACCATTTATTGATCATTACCGGACAGCCCATTGAAGGAGCTACTTATAATTAGCAATTTAAGCACACAGGTACGGGCTCTGGCCACTTCTCTCTAGTTACTCCTCAAGCTTTACTCTCTTTCTATCTCTCCCTCCTAGATAAATGTTGACTTATGTATTGAAGGGCCAACCGAGTACAAATCCATACACCTTGACCAGATTTCTGTCGTGCACATGAATTTTCCGGTGAGAGCTCCGGCCAAGTTCATGATTCCCATTTTGAGTTCCAACAATGCTCTTTTTTTTTTTTTCTCTCTGGACAAGTTAAAAAAGACCATTAACGATACGTCAATGACATAGAAACTCCCACCCGCCTTGATATTAACAAACTATAATTGCGGATTACATTTAGACTATTAGATCGTGAAGTTGCCGGTGTTCTGTTGGTTAATTTATCTACTTACATTAGTCGTTCAATATTATGGGAGCAAGGGGGATGTCCCCACTCCTAAATTTATTGTTGAACCGGTTCAACTCAGGAGCTGGCCTGGACCGCTGGTTCAACTTTGGAATTAGAGTGACTAAATCGATTCTTGGGTGTGAAATCAGCTGCTCTTGCCTTGGTACCGAGAGCTGAATTGATTCTTTCAGCCTTGAAACGGTTAGTCCAAGCTTGTTTGCTTCGGTTCTCGGATTGATCTGGATCCGGTGCTCATCCCTAGCAGTAATTTCCCATCCAAAAGTGCATTTTTAGAAGTAAAGTTATGAGGGAGAAGATAGAGATGCAAGTAGGTTTATTTTTTAAGCTACCTAGAGCGCACAGAATGGTCAAGATCTTTCAAAGCCCGGCACGCCTATTCTAAAATAGCCAATCCTTACATGTTGGGAAAAAGAACAGTATATGCGAAAAAGACCTGGATAATTTTCCCACTACTATTTCTGTGACAATTAAATAGGATAAAATATTTGATGAAAGCGGTAAAGACGAATAGTAAATAACACCAGAATTTTAACGTGGAAACCCTCCAAGGTGAAGGGAAAAACCACGGGACCGTAGTCCACTTCAAACTTCCACTATGATAAATAATGGGATACAACTTCACCCTAAGGTGGATCTCTCACTGTCTTCAATTTGTGGATCTGAACCTCTCACAAACTGGATAACTCTCTTGAAGATAACTCTCTTGGAAGAGGAAGATTGTTTCTTCCGCTATACTATGATCTTCTTGCTTTTTGTATATCTCTCTCCATTGAGGAGGACTCCTATTTATAGGAGCAAATGCAATCCCAATTGGAATTGTACGATATGAAAATCACGGTGATTTGTTTCCGAAACATTCATGATTTTCTGGATGTGGAAGATCATGTTGATTTATCTCCCGATCTCTCTTGATTTTCTTTCCCCCTCCCTTTGGCCTCTCCAATTGGGAGTGACCTACTCAACAAATCTCCCCCTCACGAACAATTCGGAGAGGGTGTCAAACCTGCAAAAGTTCGACAAGCTTGCATCTTCACTATAGATAGGGATTTTGTCATCATATCTGAGCCGTTGTTGTCGGTGTGTATTTTCTTTAACTGCAAGGCTTTTTCTTCCAACACATCACGTATCCAATGATATCTGATATCAATGTGTTTGGACCTGGAGTGGAAAGTTGCATTTTTGCTGAGGTGTATTGCGCTTTGACTATCCGAGTACAAGATATACTTCTCTTGGTTATGGCCCACTTCTTGTAGGAACTTCTTCATCCACAGGAGTTCTTTACATGCTTCCGTTATCGCAACATACTCTGCTTCGGCAGTAGATAGGGCAACACATTTTTGTAGTTGAGATTGCCATGAGACTGCTCCCCCTGCAAAAGTCATTAGGTACCCCGATGTAGACTTTCTTGAGTCCACATCCCCTGCCATGTCTGCATCCGAAAAACCTTCTAATATGGTTTTATCATTACCAAAGCATATACAGTTATTAGAAGTACCTCGGAGATACCTGAATATCCATTTGACTGCTGCCCAATGTTCCTTACCGGGATTGGATAGGAACCTGCTTACCACACCAACTGCATAGGCGATATCAGGCCTCGTGCATACCATCGTGTACATTAGGCTGCCAACCGCCGATGCATAAGGAACCTTTTCCATTTCCTTCTTTTCTGTCTCACTTTTCGGGCATTGCTCCAAACTGAGCTTGAAGTGGTTTGCGAGTGGAGAACAAACTGCTTTGGATTTATTCATGTTAAATCTTTCAAGAACTTTATTAACATACCGTTCTTGAGATAACCAGAGTTTACGGTTCTGCCTGTCTCGGAAGATTTCCATCCCAAGAATTTGTTTTGCAGGTCCTAAATCCT